ATGCGACGGCTGAAGCCCAAGGTAAACTTGGGTTTAGGCTTAGCCTTATGCTCACGCATAGGCTTATTGTTGAAGCCTAGGGTTAGCCTTAGGCTTGCTGTGAGCAAATTACAGGTGTCTGAAGTTTCGTGATCTGTCGAGAAGAACGGATACCCCCCTTCCCGTAATCGCCCCCGCCTTCAGGTGACTAAAAGATTACAGACACAAGCTGGATGCTGGTGCTCATCGTCGTTCGCTTTTACTGAGTAAGATCATTTCGCTCGAGCGACCGTATTTTTTAGTTTGCCTCTGAATGCTATGTTATGATTCTTGTTGGTATGATACCGATTATCAGGAAACACGTCCGAGCATCCCTCTCTTGGTTGGTTGCTCGTCCGACGCGGAAATCAGGAGTCAAAATGTGATTTCCGTCCTATGGCTTCTAGATCGCTTCATTTGCTTCTTATTCAGCATGTACCATATCTACAGTCATTTCCTTTGGAGACCAATTTACGGTACCAAATGATTTCGAATCGTCATGCAGTAATTGAGGCACAGCAGCGGTCAAATGTCACCGGAAGGGTTTTCAGTGACTCACATTTCTTTCCCTTGAAATGCCTTTGTTTTGATCTGATTTGGCTCATTGATTTGCTCAATTTCCTTTCAGCTGCCTTAAATCCTTGAAATTCAGGGACTATTCGCATGAAAAAAAATCGACGCTGAAAACTGCATATCCTTGAACAGTGATTCCTCCCTGTAATTTTACACGAACCCTTTCAGAATCCTCTTGATTTTTCCTGAATTGAGATTCTTTCTCCAGAGAGCCGTAGTTGAAGCGCGCGCAACCAACTGGGCCCACTCTGGGATGCGCCGTGTGCTTCACATCCCTTCAGATTCGAGGACTCATTTGAAAGATAAAATATCCCTTGGAAAACGTGCGAATTTCGGATTCTTCAACCTTGTGATAGCAATTCACTGACGTAGTTTAGGATTACTACGCGAACCCCTCTGAACCACGAAAATTTTTATGTGGGTGGAATAATATTATTCAGGAAATCCTTGGCTAAGCTTGCACAGCATCGACTCACTCCTTGATGTTTGTCCTCCGACAGTGATGATCCTACTGCATCGATTTGGCTCGATCCCTTCCTCCCAGCGGGCCAAATACGACTCCCTGTCGAACTGTCGAGGATTCCTCAGCGGACGCTTAAAGGCAAAAGTCAGGCTCGTGTTTCGGCATTATGGCGCCTGATATTGAGTTTAGAGATGGGAGGTGGAACGATAGTGAAGAAAAAACGAAAAAAAAAAAGGCTAAAAAAAAAAGTGGAACGATAGTGAAGAAAAAACGAAAAAAAAAAACTGTCGACAACACCGAAATCGAAACCCTTTCCTTCTAGCAGTGAAGGAGGCTTGCTTGGGGGAGAGTCACGTCCAAACGAGTTTTCCGGATATGCCAGCCGTTCCATCGGTTGATACGGCAATCAACCTAGCTGATCTCACACGTTAGGCCAGCCACGCACCACATCCCGCGGTGGCGATCCGTGCTGCCGGGAAATTCTCGCAGCACGGCAGCACACAATGCAAGGCCCTAGCGCCTTTGCCGCGCACTTCTTTGTCGCGACAGCCTCACACCCCCTCTGCTTGGAGACCCCACTTTTGCACCCTATAAAGGACTTCCTAATGTTCCCTAATCCTGACTCGTGGCTTTAACCTTGCGGTACGACTCGAAGAGATGGTACGGTTGACTCTGCACGCGCTATCGATCTAGGCTTTATCCGCAATTTAATAAAAGGATAAAGGATAAAGCATTTGCCGTTGATCAATCCCTTTGGGATGCGGCACGCATTCTACTTCCATTTGTACATTCGTAGTGGCGTTTGAATGCGATGTGGCCTATACAATGACTTGCGGGGGCCAGCCGATGTACAAGTCAGTGTTTTTATCCTCCCAGACAAGTCTGGTACCAATTAACCGACCCCGGAGGGATGGAAGGCTTGGTTGGCCCGGGCGACTCACGACCCAGGATTTGATCCCCGGACCGCTCGCGTGGTAAGCGTGCCACTTGCCACTACACCACTTCCGCCCAGGCTTTTATTCCAAAATGACATACTCGTGCTGCCCGAAGCGCGTCTTTCATGTGTGGTTGAGGCCTGTGAGCTATGTGAATTACTGTAGTATTATTTGTATTAAAATGTATTATTGTATTTGGGTGATATTTGAGTTCACCTTCAGTATGAGCATATTTTGGATACAATAAAAGATGCCACAAGTTTGGAAGCGGCCACTGATTCGCTATCGCAACCGCAGCCTTTCAGAATGGATTCCAATCACTTTGATCCCCGCTTAAAGGATGGCTATTGTCCAAAGGACAGAAGAAGCTGACAATGCAGCGACACGTTTAGGCCGGGGCGATTCGAACCGCCTTCACGTCAAAACAATGATGAAAGAACGGGTCAAAGCATTGTGTGTAAGAGAACGTGTTTGTCCACCTTCCCTGCAAAGGTCATTTTGTCATCGTCACCCGTTCAGCAGGGCAATGCACTCACCTCTGGATAAAGATTGAATCGCTTCAACGTGTTAATGGTGTGTCCGTATTCCGTCACGTTGTCGTTTGTTATCTGCAGAAGGCCATTGTAGAACGACGGCGCATTGATGATTGTCTTGTAGTATGAGTAGTACAAGCCCTGAAATCGAAATTTTATGTGCCGAAAGACGTTTTTATATGGCCTTTCGCAGCTGTTTAGCCACGGCCTTCTGACGGCGTTTTATCCAACCGGAACTCTCGCCACGTCATGTAATCGCCTCGACCCATTCACAACTAAACACTAAACATTGATCGAGTAATCCGGTTTGGAGGGCAGAGGGAGGGGTTGAACCTCGACAGCGTCAAATCTTTACGCTGCAGAAAATGTGAACTCTAGTAACTTCGTGATTTGGGAGCCCCTCGTCGTCGTAATTCGGTCAGCAACCTAGATAACTTGAAGCTCCAGAAATGCCTT